TTGCCAGATAAAATACAGAACATTCAGTTGAACTTGAATTTCAAACAAACAATAATTTTTTTTTTTTAGAGAGAGAGAGAGAGAATTGTAATATTTATTTATTTATTTATTTATTTATTTATTTATTTATTTTTTAGTTTTTCAGCAGACACAACATCTTTTTTTGTATGTGGTGCTGAGGATCGAACCCGGGCCGCACAAATGCCAGGCGAGCGCACTACCGCTTGAGCCACATCCCCAGCCCCAAAATAAAATTTTTTATACTAATAAATTATTTGTGTTTTATCTGAAATTCAAGTGTAGCTAGGTATTATATCTTCTCTTTTAAAGGTGAAAGTCTAGTGCTTGAGAAAATCTGATTTTAAACCATGAGCCTCAACAATTCTGGCACAATTCAATCAAAATAAATAATATCCATAACTTCACAAGTACATTATAAATTTTGATGATGTATTTTAAGATGTAAAGCTCTTATCAAAATTTCAGAATTATTATTCTGAAATACAATAACCAAAACATTTGTATATGCAACTCCTTTAATTTATTATAAAACTGCAATTTGTATTTATTGAATTATGTTTACATTGCAGAGTATAGTATTATTAGGTCCAGTGTGAGACTATTTTATGTACAGTGCATTTCTGTAGTGGAAATAGTGTTGAAATTTAAGTAATACTGACTGGAAGTTATTGTCACATTCCTTTTGTGTTACCTTTAGGTTACCTGCTTTTTATTTGCTCATTTTTAACAGGAGGTATATTAACATGTCATAAATCATTTATGGTGATTAAATGAAACAAGTTTTCTTGTGCTCAGAGTCTAGCAAAAGGCCTGGAACTTAGTAAATTCTTATTAAATAGTATTATCTATTCTACTGTATATAAGATTATAATAAGGTTTATGCTGACACTTTCTTTCCCCCTCTCTCTCCTGTGAAGTCTTGAAGATTCCTTTGAAATCTCTATTAGCAAATATATCACTTTTCTAGAGCTGCTATAACCAAGTTCCCCAGACTGGATGATGTCATAGGCATGTTTTCAAAGAATTTTTTCACAATTCTGTAAGTGGGAAGTCTGAGATCAAGGCGTCAGCAGGGTTGGTTTATCTTGAGGTTACTCTCCTTGGCCTGTAGCTGGCTGTCTTCTTTTGTTTTTACATGGCCTTTCCTCCATGCATCCAAATTTTCCTTTTCTATGGAGACACCAGTCATACTGAATTACATTGGATCAGGACCTACCATAACATATACATTTTAATTTAATTACTTTTTTTGAGGTGCTTGGGGGTTGAACCCAATAGCATTCTAACTCTGAGGCACATCACTATATATATTATAAAATCTGGGTCATTGGGGGTCCTGCCCTCAGAAGGCATTTCTATATATATAGCGCTAAGTTCCCCAGCTTGTTGACCTTGAACTGGGATCTTTCTACCTCAGGCTATTGAGTTACTGGGCTTATAGGAATGTGCTATTTTTTAAGGACCCTGTCTACAAATTCAGTCACAATCTGAGGTACTAGGGATTCAGATTCAAGCATATGAATATGAAGGGTGGTGTCTCCTAAGCCTGTAACAATAAAGCACAGTTTCAGATTTAAGCACTTTAAAAATACTAATAATTTCTGAAATTTCTAGCATATTTATGTCAATAATAGCATAAGACAAAAAAATTGAGACAAACTGAATATGACTCCAGGTAGTACTTACAGTAAAAAACAAATAATTTTAAGTTGGAGGGATCTTGAAAAATTAAAATATATAAAAAGGAAAGGAGAGAATATTCTCAGATTCTGGGAGAAAGGGTCTTATTTAAATGTTTTATAAGTTATGAGTTGTAATGGGAGATATTTTTAGGGATATGTATTTCCCCAATCATTTCATAGGTATTTAGGGAATATGTGCATCATGTTCAGTTCAAAAGAAGGCAAAGTTCTGTGAAAAATACAAAGAAATACAAAGCAGGATCCTTGCTCTCAGGAGCTTTTCTCTCTTGATAAGAAGCCAACATTATACAAGTGAAATAAAGAAAAACAGCAACAATTACATAAAACCATGTAATTCTGTCTGTAGAGAAATTTGAGTCACTGGGGAAGAGAGGCGTCACTATGTGGGAGTTTGAGATACTTCTCTAAAGTTGGGGCTCATATTTCCCCATTGAGAGGCAGTGTGGTATAATGGAATGTGCCTAGTTCTATTATGACATTAATCACAGTCTTTATTTATTTTTTATATTTGTTCATTCATCTTTGTCTCTATCACTAGAACATACAGTCTATAAAGGCAGTAACCTTATTTGTATTTTATACATAATAGATGCTGGTATTAGTSTATTTTCTGTTGCTAATAGCATAACATTGCAGACAGGATAAATTTTAATGAAAAAAGAGGTTTAATTTGGTTCACACTTCTGAAGGTTCAATGTTCAGGGGCCACATCTGTACAATATTAGTGGAATGAATAAATGCATTAATATCATGAGATAATAAGTATGGAGAGTTAGAAAGAAGTCTCAATAGGTAGAAAAAATTCAATTTATGTAGGGTTTTAAAAAATGATAGGTAATTTTAAATTTGAAACAGAATGTAATTAGAAGATTTTGAAGAATCTCAAGAATTAGGAATAAACTAAATATGTTTTTAAAGGACTATAACAATCTACAATAGTTTTTCCAGAATAACTGTGGTCTCAGTTTCACATTGGTCACGGGTAAAATTCCTGTTGTTTAAGTCCTAATGGTCTTTCATGGGCCAGGGACTCTTTGGTCATAGTCCTCAAGGTCATGGTTCTTTGTATTTAGTTCCTTCTCCCATTTATTTAACAATCCTTTACCAGCACATTAGAGTTKAATTGGTTACTCTCAGTAACTGGGAATTTGACATGATTTTGGGTTACTCTTAGAAGCACCACCTGATCAAAAAGTTTAATACAGAATTGGATTACATGGTCACCTCTACTTCCCAGAACACCTGACATTTTGACTGTCGTCTGTGAAAATTAGTCTTCTCTAGCAGGCTGAAAACGGAAGGGAATTTTTGTAGGGTGATCATTCATAGCATCTGCATAGGGTGGCTACTTTCTAGATAGGAAGAAAGAATGTCAAGGAAGTATTTTTTTTTTCCCACTGAATTCCCATAGCAACTAGAAAAAAAAAAAGTAATCATAAAAGAATTTGTATGATCTTGCTGTAGAAATTTGTTAAAAAATTCAGGTTTGAAAAAATGGAATCCTGAGTCATGATATGTTAGGTCATAGCTTACTGAAACATGAGAATTTGCACAGAGATACATCTTTGAAAATCATCCAGCCTCTTGACTGTTTTAAGTTTTAGTGTCATGTTGTTCCTGTTCAAGGCCCCTTGGGTCCTAATGGGTTAGTAATAAAGGAAAATTCTTTGACTGAGTGGTGCTTTCAGTTAACGTTGGTCCTGAACACAATTTCCTGGATTTCCATTGTGATGACATTGAGCCTCACTCAATTAGCAATGTCCCTATGGTGAGGTGCTTTTGTCTAGGAGATAGAAATGGAACACATTTTGATTTAGGCTACTTTGAAAACCAAAAACTTATTTTGGACCTATTCTGTGTCAGAGACCAGCCAGAAAGGCTCTGAGCCCTACACTTATATTCCTCTTGCCAGGTCTTTAATTTGCTTTTAATTTACTACTTTTATTAATTTTATAAATTCTGAAGTAATATACACATAATAACAAAACAATCAATACAAAAAAGACTGTCATTAACAGAATATCATTTAATTTAACCCTTCCACCTTCAGTCTCACTTTCAAAAACAGATCTTTTATAGCTGTTTAAGTTCTTCCAGGGTTCTATCAAATGTATACGTAATATTTATTTATCAGTTTTACATATCATGCATTTTTCTGATATGAAAGACAAAAATCTAATAATTTCTATTATTCTTTTTAATCTCACCCTTCCCAGTTTTCTAGATGATTTTGGTATTTTATTAGTCATTTTCTAATTATATATATTATGCTAAATGTCTCTTTGCTATTCATTTTTAAAATCATCTTATTATTTGTCATTTTATATGAGAATATTCTTTCCAAGATCAATGTCTTATTTGCTTATGAAAACTTTATTTTTACATTGCAAAATTCTTAATATTTATGTCTTACATCACCATCTTAGCAAGTCTTCTGTGGTTTATTAAAGGCTGATATAGAAAACTGAAAACAAATAACATCTATTAGAATTATACTTGCTTCTGTCCTAGTATAGTGTTTTAACTTCTGGGTCACTAAAAAAATGCAAAGAGTAATAACACCAAGAACAATTGTATTACCTTTTTAAAAAAATAATTCATTAATTACTTAATGTTTAAGCAATTTTTTTCTTTGCAAAACTGTTTTCATCTAGAATTTAAGTCATGATATTATATCTCTATAACTTTGAATTAATACAATTTTGAAGAAAGAGTATATCTGTGCAAGTATTTCTGTGAATGGAGTATTTCTCTGCAAGTATTTCTGCACAAGAAATAAAAATAGTTACTATAATTGTGAAGAATCCAGTAATGGAAAATAAAAGTTATTAAAAACTAAATACAATTAGCAAACAGAAAGCTAGAGAACAATATGTTTTTAATTTTCTTTAGCTATTTTGTTGGACTCTGCTATTTATTTACACATACAGCACAAAACTACTATTGTCATGTTTAAGTATAAAAATAAAAAAAATGTATTATGTATTGATATGAAGTATGCTTATTTTATCAATATAATATGTATTAGATAATATATAAAATGTTATTGATTTTTTTGGGGAAAAGAAAGGTTAAAGACTTGGGAAAGGAGGAGGAAATTTTGAATAATATGTCACTATAGTTTGCGTTTTTCAAAGTAAATGTGATTTTAGTATCTCCCTTAGATTTTTAAATAGAACAAAATAAATCARAATGTATTACATTTTAATAGCTATTTATTTTATTTAATGAAATATTTATATTCTCCTTTAAAAATCTTTTTTTTTTGTTTTATAGATAAGAAACTCTGGTGGGCAGACCAAAACTTAGCTCAGCTGGGAACCTGTAACAAAAGAGATGGAAGAAACCCCACCATCCTACGAAACAAGACTTCTGGGGTTGTTCATATGAAAGTATATGATAAAGAAGCACAGCAAGGCAAGTCACACTTGGAAATTCATGCCACGTTTTGAGTATATAATGTTCTCTTTTTTCATACTATTTCTTCATTCCAGCAATAGAAGTTTTTACTCTTGCTTCTAATTAAGAAAAAAAAAAAAAGGAAAATGTTGCTTAATACTATAGGAGAAATGTCTTTAAAAGTTATGTATTATGATACATAATGAACTTTTAAAATATTAACAAAATGGCCTTACATATCTTAATGTGTCAGGTCTTCAAAGAGATAGTTCCTAGTGTTTTTTTATGAGAAAATAGGAATAAAAAAATATCCCAGCAAAATACATACAAAATATAATTAAGCCCAGAAACTGAATGAACTATGGAATTTCAAGTAGACAAAGTGGATATAAGATGTAAAGGTTTTATATTTGAATTGTTTGAAGCATTGAATTGTTTGGCTATAAGCATTTAGCCTTTTTGTTTTGTTTTTCCAAATGGTGTGTAGTGAAATGGAGTGAGAGAACTAACAGATGGTTTACATAGGTGGATTTGTCACCTTGCCCAAATGGCAATTGGATTAGAGCTGCCATCCTGTACAACTATACACCTGCTGGCTCTTTCTTAGTTTTTGCTTTATTATTCATGACATTAATAGAACTCTCTCCTGTAAAATATATATATATATATTTTTTTTTTTTCTGTATTCCACTTCCTTATTTTAGTCTTTGCCATGAAAAATCTTCAGTTTCATGTATTTATTTCTAGGAAATTCTTCATGAAAAAAAATTGGACACTATGTAATGATTTCATCTAGATGATTTGGGGCAGATAGACAAAAACAGAAAAGAATAGGAGGAAGAATTCAGATCCTACAGGATATGTATTTCGGAAGACAGGTGACAACCATCAGGCAGGAATTATTGGAGATATCAGTTGAGTGCTGGCTTGCACAACAGGAGAGAAAATGGAGAAAAGCAGTGCTTGCCTTCCCTGAGGATGGARCAGATTTGTTCTAGAAGCCTTACTTGTGAGGATCAGAGGGAAATATATTTCTTTTTTCATGAAAAGAAATTTTTAAAAAACTTTTTAAAATAATTACTTCAGTAATTAATCTGAAATGATTATTGAGCTTATTTTGGGTGGAAGGGTAACTTGCCTAAAATGTGTGAGACCACCTATTTGATGGCTTGAACACCAAATAAATAAACAAATAAATAAATAAATAGAGACAAACAAATAAAGAAAAGAAAATAGGGGTGCTCAACCACTGAGCCACATCCCCAGTCCCATTTTCTATTTTATTTAGAGACAGGATCTCACTGAGTTGCTTAGTTCCTTTCTTTTGCTGAGGCTGGCTTTGAACTTGTAAACCTCCTGTCTCAGTCTCCCCAGCTCCTGGGATTACAGGTGTGTGCCACTATGCCTGCCATTAGCTAACTTTTATTAACCAGATTATCCTATTTTAAAAATTTGTCCCTATAAGTACAGATAAATGTAACATACACTATGAATAGACCCTTAGCACTTAGAAATTAAAGATGTAATATGACTAAGTTTAATATGCAGTGAAAATACCATTTTTTTCTCAAAGAATATGCTGGTAAAATCATCTGTATTAAAGACAATCCCATTAACAGAATCACTGCAGGTAGCTTAAAAGCTTCATTAGTATGAAATATGAGCAATTTAGGACTCTTTAAGGTGTTAACATTACTATCTCTTTGGATTTCAGAGTACAATTAGTTGATTCATTTATCATTTTTGACACAGATCACTGGAGAGCTGAGACTTCTTGTTAGTCAAATGGACTTTCTAGCTCTAGTAGTCATTTGGGGCATGAGGTTTGAACATCAATATCATTACAACATTTCAATTCAAGCTAGTATTTCTAACCTGATAGATAATCACTACATGAATTATTACTATAAAAATCACTATATTATTTCCCACTTCACCTATATTTCATAGGAAAGGATACTTACTATAAATAGTGACTTTGTAAATACTTTTTAATTTTTTATCTCCCTACAGTTATTAAAATGTATTAAATGTATTAAACTTGCTATTATTGCAATTATATTATTCAATATAAAGTAATATAATTAAATAATTATAGATAATATAATATTTATATATTATTTATGTATTATATATGATATAAATATGTATACATATTTAATTAAATAATTAATAATTATTTAATACAATTTAATGTTATTTAATATAATTGCTATTATTGCAATTATATTAAAAATTGTACCATTGTAGCCAGGCATGGTGGGGCATGACTATAATCCCAGTGGCTTGGGAGGCTGAGGCAGGAGGACTGAGGATTCAAAGCCAGCCTCAGCAAAAGTTGCACTAAGCTACTCAGAGAGACTGTGTTTCTAAATAAAATACAAAATGGGGCTGGGGATGGGGCTCAGTGGTCGAGTGTCCCTGAATGTAATTCCTGGTACCCCTATCCCCCAAAATTAAACCATCCCAGAAGCTCCTGTTTATTCTTTTCACATACTTTTTATATTATCAAAGCTATATAACCCCTCATTTTGTCTTATGTTTATGAATTCATTCTCTTCCCTAACCTGTTTGTTTACTTTGTTCCCCTTATTTTTCCTCTCCGTGTGGTATTTCTTCATACTTTATAGTCAGGTATAATCTGTAAATCTCTTTACAGTTGTTCAGGCTTTAGTGAAAGTTAAAACTAATATCTATCTATATGTGTATCGCTAAAGATTGGCATAAAAACTAATATCTATCTATATGCATATCTCTATAGATTGGCATTATTTTAATGTTTATCCACATGCTTTCTATACAATAATATATATATATATATATATATATATATATATATATATATATATATAGCCAATAAAGAATTATTGCACACATAATAACATAATTATCTTATTATTTAAAAAAAAGAGAGCTGAAATAATATCTTGAGTAAGCTGGGGGATAAAAACGAATTAATTAGTATTCATTAGTTAATTTAGAAAATAATTGTAACAGTTTGAAAACTTTGGGTTACTTAAGGTAAAGTTCAGCCTTGACAGAACAGTATCTATAAGAAATGAGCAGAGAATGTGGTAGATATACTGATGAGAAATCTCCCCAATTGAGAGCATTTCACATTTCAAAAATGACAGAGATTGTGACGGGTTTGAATGAACAATTAAATCCCATCAGACTATCTTGAATTCAGGAGATGAGAAATAATGAACTGCATTGGTATTTTAAATTTCCCATGGAGCGCTATTGATATATAGCTTTCATCATGCTTTGTAATTCTCACTGGRTTTATTGCACTTAGTATCAGAGCGTGAACATCCAGTAAATGGCATTGCATGTCCTAGAATAATAAAAATGTTGTAAAGATGGGATATTTAATGAACTTGCTTGGTAAGATTGTAAATTACTAAACTTTACACTACAGTTTTAATTAGCATATTGGGCCTAGTAAATTCAAAAGAACATCTTTATAGAATGCCTACCTGTGATTACCTGACTAATATTTGTCATTGACACTGTAAAGGAGTAAGGAGAATTAATATGCCAATTAATTAGATGACTCTTATGGGTGTGTTTAAATATATTTTGGAGAATTATGTTTCTAGGAATGGAGAAATTTATTATTTTTTTAAAATAAAGTACTTATACATACACATGCCTCGTTTTTTAAATGACATGATCTTCGAGTTGTATTAGTAATATAACTTCATAGCTATTTATGTGACACGTGRATAAAATATCTTTGCAAAGGAAATAACTATGGAGATGAAGTTAAGTTCCAAATAAAAAAAATAAATAAACATTCCCTGATTTCTGTGTTCTTACATCATATCAAAGAACTATGATGGTGTTCATGAATAATCAGTTCTCTTTTGCTTTTCTGTAACTATAATCTTTTCATGTATTTCTATTTGCTTTTTCTGAAGGGCAAAATTTAACTATAATTTGCTAATTCAAATTATTTGGAAGAATAAAATGTGAGACTGATCAATATGAACAGCTACATTTAGGAATTAAAGGCATAAAATATTTGCTAAATTTTTAATATTGAATAACAMTCTTTAATTTTCTTTTTCTTTTTTTCTTTTTGTGTATTTTTTTTTCCTTTATGCAGGCAGCAACTCTTGCCACCTAAATAATGGTGGATGCTCACAGCTTTGTTTACCAACATCTGAAACTACAAGGACTTGCGTGTGTACAGTGGGATATTATCTCCAGAAGAACCGCATGTCATGTCAAGGTATGAAAATTTTTAGTTTTAATGCATTTACTTAATCTACCAGATTGCAGATTTTATGCAACCAAAGTCAGTGAAACATTAGAAAAATAATATTAGCTTGTTAATTGGAAAATGGTGTACTGCTTAGTTTTATACATGTAAAATTTTAGTATATCAGAAATATTTGAAGTATCACTGTTTTTTCTTTTAAGACTTCCTAACTTTGAAAAAAATTCCAGCTACTATTCAAAATTAAGGAGAATTAATATGAAAATTAATCAGATGACTTTTATGCACATGTTTTAAACATATTTTGGGTAAACTGTGCTCCTAGGAGAGAAAAAATTTATATCCTTGCTTTGAAAAGAAATTAAATATATCTATACATGACTACATTATTTTTGGCATAATCTTTAAATTGTGTTAGTAATATAATTTAACAACTATTTATGTGACACATTTGCATAGAATTTGTCCTGCAAAGAAAATAAGATGAAGTTTACTATCAAACATTAACCAAATGTAGTAGCTTCTACATTCAACTTGAATAGGCAAAAATTGAAGTAAAAGGAGATGGTCGATTGGCTGTAATTAATGTATAGTTTGATTTAGTTTTGTTTACTTTTCAACTAATTTATAGAAGGCATAAGGGAGAATATAAGAACTAGGTTTGCAAAATTGAGGGACAGTAGCACTTCTACTAAAGGAATGCAACATAAAAATATATTTGCTGTTTCTTATTTTRTAATCTCTAGTTCTATTATTCCAAAGAACTTTGGTTCTGGAAATTTTATATCTGGTGATTAAAGCTAAATTTTATCTTTTATATTACTTAAAAACTATATGCCAGCATTATTATTTATTGAATTTTAATAAATTATTTGTATTGTACTTATTATATTGCCATGATTAGTTCTGAGCACCTTATACATGTAATTCACTTATCCTTATAATTTTATGAGGTAGATCTCTTATTATTACTATTTTATAGTTGGGAAAACTTTACAGAGAAATTAACATGCCCAAACCCCATGAATAAAAAATGACAGAAACAGATATAAATCTAGGAATCTTGATGTTAATAAAACAATATGTAAATATATAAGTATTTTCTAATATATTAGCAAAATTGATAAGGGTTAGCATAAAAATTTCTGGTAGTATGGTTATTTTTATGTGCTTATTTTAGGATATGCTTTTAATGCTGAAAAAGTAAGATATTAATAGCAAAAGATAAGCAATTGGTGCATGTCTAGTGTTCTACAGGATTTAAGAAATTTACTCTTCCTTAAAAATAGATATATATTAGGACAACAACAGTAACAAATAATTRTCTCTGTGCTTATGGAAATGGTTTTCCCATGCTAATACCATCATCACCAATTGGGAACTTTTCAGAATTCCACATTATGAGGCCTCTGGAAAGGGGCTCAGGAATCCGTTTTAACCAACCTGCTAGAGATCATGTTGTATACTCAAGGTGAAAACCATGATTCCCTACCTTTTAGCTAGTAAGAAAGGGTAGTATACAATCAAAAATTTTTTAAAAGACTAAGAAATACATTATTAATTTAAATAATATTGATTAAGTTATTTTAATTTTAAATATTTATTTTTATATTGCCCCCCCCCAATTTAGGTATAGAATCATTTCTCATGTACTCTGTTCATGAAGGAATCAGGGGAATACCTCTTGAACCAAGTGACAAAATGGATGCTTTGATGCCCATCTCAGGAACTTCATTTGCCGTGGGAATAGATTTCCATGCTGGTAAATAACTTTTTAATTATAATTTAGGTATAATTCTAATATGATTTACTAAGCATGATAGAAACATAACTTTTTATCTGAACTCTGATAGCCAAGTTGGAAATAAGAAAACAAATTGAAGATAAATATTTAAGCCTATCACAAATTGTCTTAAATGTTTTACTTAAAGAAAATATCATGTAAAATTTTCCTAAAATATAGTATTTAAATTGAAAGTAAATTAATATGTTGTGATTAGCTGTTGGTTATTTACTTTTATTTTTATATTTTTCAAATGACATWATACTCTCATCTAGTAACAAATATAAAGGCGTGTAAAGCATTTGAGCTATTTTATAATAAAATTATGATCATATTCAAAATATTTTCAGGATGTGATTTTTGAATCTAATACAGACAGCAGCAAATGTAATCTAACTAATAGAAAACATTGTAAATACTAAACCGCTTTTAATTATTTTTATCACACTGTGCATCATTTTGGAGTCAGGTTTTACCTTTCCCTCTTATTTGTCAGTACAGGGTGAAAGACAGGAAACTAGCATTTAGCTAATATAAATGGATGACTTGGAATTAATGGTAGACACTGTGGAATTTATTGAAGTTAACTAGTTTTTTTGTGTCCTAATAAAATTATGGAAATGTAGCCCCTACTTTGTTGATCGCCCTTCAATTTTGTGAGATCCCCATTTTATTTTAATACTTTTTTCTCCATCTTCCGCATATAAAACATTTGACCCTTGACCTTCTGAGTCTTGCTTATTTCACTTAGTGTGATGTTCCCCATTTCCAACTATTTGCAAGCAAATGACACAATTTCCTTCTTCTTTATGGCTGAGCAAAACCTCATTGTGTATAAATACTAAATTTTCTTTAAGCATTTATCCATTGACTGGTACCTAGCCTGGTTATAGAACTTGGCTATTGAGAATTTTGCTACTGTATACATTGGTATGTATGTATCAGTATAATATGTTTATTTAAAAAATCTTGGATAAAATACCAAGGAGTGGGATACCTGATTCATGTAGTGTTCCCATTCCTATTCTTACAGAATCTACATACTGCTTTCCTAAGTGGTTGTACTAATTTTGGGTTCTACCAACAATTTATAACTAATATTTTAGTCAGCTTTTTCATTGCTGCAACAAAAATAACAGACAAGCACAATGTAGAAGAGAAAAACTTTGTTTTAGCTCATGGTTTCAGATGTTCAGTCCATGGTAGGCTGACTCCCTAGCTCTAGGCCCAAGGCCAGGGAGGACAATGTGGCAGAAGTGTGTGGGGRGAAGAAAGTAGCTTAGAATGTGGTGACCAGGAACAAAAAGAGAGCTCTGCTCATCAGGGACAAAATATAAACCCGAAAGGAACACTCCAATGACCTATTTCCTCCAGCCATCCCTACTTGCCTACAGTTACCATCATTTAATCTATCAATGGATTAACTGACTTGATTAGGTTTTACCTCTCATAATCTAATCATCTCATTTCTGAAAATTCTTGCAATAGCTCACACATGAGATTTAGAGGAGCACCTCATATCTAAACTATAACATGTAACTTTTTCCCTACAGCTTTGCCAGCATTTATTGTTATTTGCATTCTTGATAATTGTCATTGTTACTGGAGTGAGATGGAATCTCAGTGTATTCTGATTAGCATTTCCCTGAGTGCTAAAAATGTTCAATATTTTTTCATATATTTGTGTGCCACTTGTATTTTTTTCTTTTTTAAAAAATATCTATTTAGTTCATTTGCCTGTTTACTGATTGGGTTATGTGGTGTTTTTGTTTGTTTGGTGTCAAGATTTTTTAATTCTTGACTTATTCTGGATGGTAATCTTCTGTCCACAGAGTAGCAAGCAGAGATTTTTCTCCCATTCTGCAGGCTCTCTCTTCATGTTCATAACCATTCCTTTGCCTACCATATTTGAAATTTATTATCTCAGATTATAATATTATAAAATCCTTATTCGTTAGCATATGGATTTCTGGTACTAAGCTTACTTTACCTCTCAGTTCTAACACAYGTTACTTAAACAGTTGATGAAATCCTGGGATGCAAAGTAATAAATTTTGAGATCTTCACAAATGGCTGAAAGATGATTTCCTTCAGTAAATTATCTTGTACAAATGTTTGCAATCACAGCGAGGTAAACTTTCTGCATTTWAAAAAGAGTCTTTTAGACAGCTACAATATATTTTTTAAATAACATGTTATTTTTTTTTCACAATTTTAGTGAACTCAGACAAATATGGTATATTTTATTAAACAATATGTTAGTTTTGCTAAAATCATAGTATGATTTTCAATAAAAGTTGATGGAGCCAATTATTTATTCATGGAAATGTATTACCTTATGATAAGATCTATTCTGCTTTTATTTACAAAAATCATTATTTAGAAGCTTATTATATATTATAATCAAGTGCAAAACTTAGAAAACTTGAATTTATTGAAAAAAATTATTATATTAACATGTATATTTTTGCTTAGTACATAATCCATTGTTTTAGCTAGCATCATATATTTGATTCTTTAAAATTTAAAGAATATTTAATAATATAAATTTTTAAATTTAATCCATAATGATTATTGAAAATATTTTGATAAATTTCCAGGATATAGAAATAATAAAAGTTATTTGATCTTAATATTCTCATTATATTATTAGTTAAACTCATGCATCTTAAGGTTAAACTGATCATTTTAATGGGTGAAATTTACTCTCTGAGGTTTCATTGTGGCCCTGAAATAGTAAACTTTTATATTGTATATCATGATACAAGATAATGTTATTTACAGATAATAGCAGCCTCCCATAGCAAAATTTCCAATATTTATTAATATCATAGTCTTATTTTGTATCAAAATAGCTTTTCATCAGGAAGAATTAGTTATTTTAGTTAAAACTTCAGGTTCTTCATATTGTGTCTGCCATGTTTTTAATTTACATTCCTAGAAAAAATAATTTTTAGAAAATCTGTTTCTTTTTAACTACAAAAAGGTGTAGGCATATGGAATAGACTGGTAGACATAACACTCAAAAATCTATTAAAATCTTGACAATTGGAAAACAGCGATATACGATTTGCTTTGAAACCAAGGACTGAGATTTAGAAACTAGTAACCCATTTAATGGAAAGGTCCAGGATTTAATATAGAAGAGTGGTTCACACTGCCAGCACAGTCACTTACTAACTCTGGGTCCTCACTATGTTATAGAATTTTTTGAGGCTCAGTTTCCTTATTTGAAGATTGTGGAAACATCAAATAAACGTTTGTATTTGTCATACTTGGGAGGCTGGCATAGAGTGCTTAGACAATGAGCCAGTTCAAACATTACTCAAGAAGAAGATGGTGGTGGTAGTATCAGGAGCTTTCAATCAGTTCTGAGTGKATCCTGTGTGGTTCTATCTACTGTACAGTCTGATTCTTTACCTAGTGTGTTTTATAAAAATTTATTAGCATCAGAGTAAATGTCAGCAACTTGATTGATGACCATTAAAGAGAATATACAATCTCCATAACTGTGTGGAGAGAAGTTGCTTCAAGAAAGAAGAAATAGAAATAACTATATTGCTCCTAAAAGAACAATTTTTGATGTGTTGGTCTGTATTTCTCTCTTTTGAACCATTATCTTCATGTTTCACCTGATTGTAAATTCTTCCACCATTATTCCCTTTGCAAATATTCTGTTCCCCTTTTTCTATTACTAACATTCACCTTAGAAACATAATGATCATTTCCACTAAATTTCAGAGTGGTTGTTTACAAACCAAAGACAGCCAGAAAACTCAGTAAATTAAGATAATTCTTATTGTCTCTGCCTATATGTTTTTGTGTTCTACCACAATAGCAATATTAGAATGTCTTTACTTTAAATCTTCTTTCTTTCTCCATTCTCCTCTCCCTCCTTCTTCTTTTCCTTTGTGGTGATAGTTGGGATTGAACCCAGGGGCATTCTGCTACTGATCTACATCCCCAACACTTTTGAGACTAGGTCTTACTAAATTGCCCAAGCTGACCTTGACTTTGATGGATCCTCTGACCTAAGCTTCATGAGTAGCTGGGATTGCAGGTGTGCATTACCAACGTAGCCACTTCAATTTTTCAACAAAAGCTTTAAATTGAGTCAGAAAAAACCTTTAGATAGAATGTTCAATGGAAAAAAATATAACATGAGTCAGAATATTTTAAATTCAACCTACTTAGCTGATTAATATGATGGGATTTGATTAACCACCTCCCTGATGTTCTGGTCTCTAAGATGAGATAATAAAAATGCATCCCTCCAACAGAGCTGTTGTGAGTAAAAACAAAAACAAATGATTTTTTTWAAAAAATTAAATGGCAAAGTAGAAGGAAACAGTTGTCCATTATTTTAAATAAACAGATCTATTAATAATAAGAAGATGAAATGGAGGAAGATTGTATTTTAAGTACAAGTATCACAGTTTATTGCTAACATTTCCACAGTGCAGTTTTACAGGGCTATATTGTTTAAACCTGTAAATTTCATGAGGATTAACACATCTGATTCTCACTGGGTTAATCCTAATAAATTAAAACATTAACAGTAAAAGGATTTTTTTTTCACCAGATGAAGCACTTTTGGATACTATCACAGAAGAAAGAATAMCCTGTGGCCAAATTTATTTTTCATAGCATTTGATTTTTCTTTCCACTAGAAAAGTCCCACTCCATTGGGGGAGGGGGCGGGGAATATTGAGCTTTGAAAATCCTTGCTTGCACAGTAGTAGTATTCTGTCTTATGACTGGATACTGCATTTGATGCTTTAAAAGATATTTTAGTTAGGAGAAGAACTTTCAGAACAAAACCCATTGCTCTACTTAGTTATATGATCTTCAGCAAATAATGCTCTGAGTCCCCTTTTCCTTAGGAATTTTTTTTTTTTTGCAAAATTTTGATAATAGTGAAACAATAAGTTTTTACTTGAATAGAGAACATTCTATTCAAGAGAATGATGATTTATCTA